TTGATGATCGCTAATCACTGTACAGACACGTCAGCCTCTCAATTACCAGCCCCACGGAAATAGAGGAAAGACAACGACTTATGAGTCAGACAGACAGATCAGACCAGATCGTTTTATTTATTATTTCAATCATGCCTTTATATACATGCAAAATCAGACTGCATCGTAAACCAATTAGAAAACTGACATCAATACAAAATAACAGTAATAGTGAGTGTGAACTGGGGTAACGCATAGCAGTCAATTAACTATAGTTCATAAATGAGAAATGATATAACAACAGTTAATGCCTCAAACAAGAGTATAGGATAAGAGCAACGTCACAATAATAGGAATAAAATCCTTACTTTGTATACAACCAAAAATAATGAATCTTAAGCCGAAAAAACAGTTCTAGACGATAGTCAATCTTCTTTAAGTGCCCGCCATAACACCTCCCCCCTTTTTTTTTGAAAAAAAAAATATCATCGGTAAGATTTATCATAGGGGTTCACTCTGATCCTGTTTGGTTTCCGTCGAATTCTTTTTGATTTCCTTAGAAATGATGCTGTTCTTGTCTCCACTGCTTTCGTTTTCTGATTGCTTCTGTCAGTCAAATCAAGTAACATGTTTAACGTCATCGGAGTACTCAGCTTAACATTCCCGTCATCGCATCTGGATGGTCGGATGTGGTTAGCATATCTTAGCCATTTCATATTGCTTACTCCGACCTCATAGATAACTCTTCCTCTGTTCCTTAGAATAATTCCAGGAACCTACTCCATTGTTTTACGATGAAAATCACGTACCCAAACCTTTTGTCCGGGTAAGAATCTTCTGGGCTTCGCTCCATGCTTCTTGTTGTATCGTATTTCCATTCTGGAATTACGTTCGATAGTCATTGCAAAATTTGGCTTCAAACTATCTAATGGCGTTCTGATTTTTCTTCTAAGCATAGCTTCCGCAGGGGACACTTCACCGACCGTCTCACGATTCGGTGTTGAACGATAAGCAAACAGGAACTTATACAATATCTCTTCTAATCTTCCTTCCCACTGGGCTTTGAGTAACGCTCTCTTAAAAGTGTCGACGAATCTCTCGACTTGCCCATTTGATTGTGGGTGATACGGAGGGGTTCTGATATGCTTAATGCTGTTAAGAGCACAAAACTTCTGGAATTCTGCAGACACGAATTGTGGGCCATTATCGGAGACAAGTACTTCTGGGACTCCGAAACAGCTGAATATTTGACGCAGTTTGTCTAGTGTAGCCATGGTTGATGTAGACCTCATACAATGTACTTCCGGCCACTTAGAAAAAGCATCGATGATAATTAAGTAGTGTTTGCCCTTTAGGGGACCAGCGAAGTCTACATGAACTCTCGACCATGGATGTGTCGCTGGTTTCCAGCAGCAAAGTTCGGTTTTTCTAGGGGCTTTCGCAGCTTGTGCACATTTTGAACATCTCAATACATAATTCATAACATCAGTATCAATGTTTGGCCAGTATACGTAACTGCGGGCCAATGCTTTCATTCGGACGACACCTGGATGTGCAGAATGTAATTGTGACAGGACTTTGTGGCGCAAAGATTTGGGAATAACTACACAGTCACCAAACATAAGGCAATCATCAACAACAGCAAGGGCGTCTCGTCGATGAAAATATTGTCGTTCTGTTGCGTTGAGGTGTGGGGGCCAACCACACAAAAGATAGCGAATAATTGTCTGAAGCTCTTCAGATTTTACGTCCATTGCTGACAAAGGTGTAGCCTGAATAGAAGTTTGCAGTATGTGATGAATATCATCTTCCAGTGACACCGTAGCAATAATAACATCTTCGTTCTCAAACTTTTGAGTCGCAATTAATCTGGAGAGGACGTCAGCGTGACCAAAAGTCATTGTTGATTTATAGCGAATCTTAAAGTCATAAGCTAACAACATAATTGCCCAACGCTGTAAACGATTGGCAGTATGTACTGGAATGCCGGACTTTGCCCCAAAAATAGAGAGGAGAGGTTTTTGGTCTGTCAGCAACGTAAATGGTCTACCATAAATCATTTTATGAAACTTCTTTATTGCAAAAATCAGTGCCAATCCTTCTTTTTCTACTTGACTGTATCTCCTCTCAGTAGCATTTAGAGATCTAGACGCATGAGCTATCGGTTTCTCTTTACCATCAGGGAAACGACGACTAATAACAGCACCAATACCGTAGTTAGAAGCATCGGCAGCGACAACTATCTCCAATTTTGGATTATAGTGGGTTAGTAGTAAATCAGAGGATAAGATTTTCTTGATTTCTTCGAAGGAATTCTGGCATGCTTCTGACCAATTCCATGTTGCATTCGCTTTTAGAAGTTGATTCAAGGGATGGCGTAACCTTTGCATAGATGGAACAAAAACACTATAATATCCAATCATACCTAAGAATGATCTTAAAGTCACCACATCGGTAGGTGCAGGCATTTGTGTGATAGCATGTATATTATCTGGATCTGGACGGCGCCCATGTTTATCAAATATAAATCCAAGGTATTTAACAGATTGAAGGAAAAATTCACATTTATGTTTCTGCAGTTGGAAACCAGATTGTGATATTCGTGTAAGTACTTTATCCAAACGCGATAATAACTCATGTTTAGAGGAACCCACAACAATAATATCATCAAGATAAGCGGCAACACCATCAAGATTTGATATCATAATGTCCATTAACTGTTGGAAAATAGCAGGCACTGGTTTTACACCAAAAGGTAGTCTGTTGTACTGGTAAAGTCCACGATGAGTATTTATTGTTAGATAAGGCTTAGAATCATCATCAACTTCTACTTGTAAATAGGCATCAGATAAATCCAGTTTAGCAAAATAACGTCCACCATTGAGTTTAATGAATAGATCTTCGGGCAATGGCAATGGATATGAATGATTTTGCAGAGCATTATTTAATCCAGTAGAGAAGTCAGCACATAGACGAACAGTACCGTTAGCTTTTTGAACGACAACAATCGGAGCTGCCAATGATGAGAAAGTAATAGGTTGTATAACCCCAAGCTTTTCTAATCGGTCAAGTTCTTTATCAACTCTATCGATAGAGGCGTAGGGTACCTGCCGTTTTGGACGAAAAACTGGTGTAGCTCCTTGACGTAAATATAATTTGGCTTTACCAATATTGCAACATCCCAAAATATCTTGAAATACATTCGAATGCTTTTCAAAAAGATGAGCTGTAGTCAAGACGTTGTTGTTTGATGTAACATTTAATACAGGTAGATTTTTAGGAATATGTGGATCTTTCAATGTACACACTGCGTCTAGTGGCACCTTCCAAAGATTTAATTTGTCAATCCAATCAATACCAATAAGATCTAAATCATGTCTGTTTGTTAAATAACAAGTTCCAGTAAAAGAATGTACTCCAAATTTAACAGCACAATTTATCATCCCAACGAGTTTTAGAATATCTCCAGATAAATTACGTGCTGTATGTTCAGTAGGCAGTAATGGGGGGCAACCCATCAATTCCCAAGTTTTCTTAGAAATAAGTGTGATATCAGATGCTGTATCCAACTGCAAACGAATCTGAACATCAATAACTAATAGATCTACATATCTTCTTTTGTCAGCAAGATTACACGTGAATGTCGAATATATACTACGTATGGAACTCTTATGAATCCGGGGAAACTTTATGCGTCGTCCAGATTTCAAATAATTCTGTTTTCGGCAGACTGTTTCTTTATGACCAACTTTATAGCAAATGTTGCACTTATGACGTTTATAACGGCAAAATCTCGCGAAATGCCAAGATCCACAAAACCAGCACTTCGAAGACGGTTTGAATAATTTAGTTTGACGTTGATCATTCATTGGAACACTCTTACTTTTGTTGGATTTGACAGCATGGATATTGCAATTTAGTGAAGCATTACCTTTGGTCTCTACAAGCTTCGTATCATTTTTGAGGTTGACCAGTCGTTGACATTCTGACGTTACCATCTGTAGTGTCATGTCATCGTTTTGCTCAATGCGTGATAGCAATCTTGTTCGAACATCAGCATCTGCTGGTGACTGGAGTCCAGAAACAAATAATAAACATTTAAACTGATCATTTGACAATGCGTTTAATTTAAAACGTTCGGCTTGTAGATTAATTCTGCTTGCATAAGACAAATAATCCTCATCTGCATCTTTTGTCAGTTGAAGGCATTTACAACGAATATGAAATAAAGATGCTGGTTCACAGAATATCGCATTTAAAATGTCAATAGTTTCATTAAATGTCAGATCTCTTAGATGTCGTGGGAGGATATAATTCTTGTATTTAAATATTCATGCTGACCAAGTTTTTGTGTTAATAAACGCACCTTCTTCGCGTCATCTATATGTTTATATTCCACTTGAAAAAGATCTTCGATTCTACCGAACCATGATTCAAATGTATGGCCATTCTCCGAATCAAAAATAAATTCTGGAAGTGAACTGAGTGATAACTCTATTCCTTTTTCTTCAGTAGTTACTCTGGACTGGATAGCCATAACAATTGTTACCAGAACACTAACTTTATCTACATCGCTTATTATTTTTTCTCTTCCCAAGGTTACCATTCAGTACTACTGCGTAAATTACTCAACTTGTTAACCTGTTTATTAAATTAGTTCTGAAATCTCATTAGCATTAACATTTTCTTTTTATTAGTCCCCACATTGCAATTAACTGAAGTACGGCCTAGTAACGTGATAGATGCTTATTTCCAGAAACCCTACTTTCCTAAAACAAACGTACTCATCCAAATCATGAGACATACACGCTCACAAACAACTGCCAACCGACTAGAATCGGTGCAATCGAGTGGCTAGACTGTCATCCGTAGTGGGAGAATACGAATCAAGCGCAAAGAAACAAACTGGTTTACAATCGCTGGTAAAAAAAGTAGATACTGAAACTCAAAACCTCCTATTTCTATGATCTCAATTAGTAATTTACAACTGAAACCGTTTGGCATTTGAAATGTTATTAGCGGTCGAATCCCTGATCAGCGCTACCGATTTTGGCGTTCTTTTTATTGGGCAGGTCTAGGATGACTGACCTAGATCTTTACAGTGAAATTGTAGCTGAAGATGATGAAAAAAGGCTGGAATACATATGCAGCTTGGATGTGGTATCGGATTTTTCATGGAAATTTCTTTATCGATTTCAATACATTTTTCTTTCTGTTGAGTGGATTTATCATGTCTAGTTTCAAGCAATAAGATGTCACGGGTATCAGTCCTTGCATGAAGTTCACTCTTACTAAGAAACAGTTTCCGGAAATATTTAAATATAGAGTATACGATGTCGCTTTATATAATTGTGAATCAAAAATAGGTCACATTCTGTGTGCTAAGTAGTGTATAGGCAGTTATCCTATCACATTTCGTAGATAATGATTAGTTACGCTGAATAACTTAAAGCTTTTACAGTGGCAGCCATTATGACTTTTGATCTTTAATTTTTATGTTACTTGTCGAACACTAAAGGTCGGCATCGTCTTCTTTTCTTAAAGCCCGAGCATGTACGTTCTCTCCAAGCCCAATCTTCATTATTAGAAGCTGAAGTTGAAGCCCTAAATGCACACGTCAGTCGTCTAGAGAAAGAACGTTTGGTTTTAATCGCCACGAAAGATCAAATTACAGATAACTTCTTCCGCTTAGGACTTGCCTGCCGCAGAGAGATAGAGAAGTTGAAGTCACAAATCAAATTACTCTGCACGAAGTAAGCAGATTTGTAAGACTTGTCATTCGTGTTTATGCCTATATCATAATATTTAAAATACAGCGTAGCCTAATGTTTTTGTTTTAGTCTCGGAATTTATCGGTATCTGGGTTCCTAGCTTTTTAACTATTTAGAGGATACTTTTTAACTATTGTAAGTTACTGTGACCATGGGTCAGTTAAGTAATGGCTCGAAGTGCCTTATTTGACGTCTCAGTTCCTCATAAAAGCTCCCAACAATCCATCTTTCTTTCTGATAATTTCACTGAGTATGGCTTTTTAAACACCAATCTTGCTTTAAATAATTGCTGACTACTATACGATCACAATTTACCACTCCTTAATTTTCATGATCGTAAAGTTTAAGTCAGTCAATGTTTAAACTACTTTAGTCCTTTCAGAGTAACCAGTAATTACAGTTCATGATTCACCTGGAACCTTCTAGTAATGCAACCCAATAACGAGTAAAATCAATGTTTTATTAGTCATCAAGTCAAAATAAAATTGTAGAAGACATGTCCCTCAAAAACGAAAAAATCCATGTCACCAGAACTTCCTCCAATTTAACCAGATATGTTAAGTCCTATTTGTAAACAGGTTTTCTAAGTTGAATGTCTTAGAATACAGTTAGCAGTATGTTTTTAGCCGAGTGAGGGTGATATTCCAATATGCTGAAATCGATGTTAGCGGTCACCTATTTAAAACTCATGTTTTGTGATGCCACCTGTCTCGTCTAGCCGTACAGTCAAAGGCAATCAAGATACATGTCCCAAAAAGGAAGTTAAGGAAAGTGGTTGGAGAGTCTTATCAATTTCTCAACAAATAATTTCCAGTAACGAAGACCTGGAAGTCTGGTAAACATTATCAGCGATGACCATTAAATTCCTATCAACCTAAAAAATGTATCGCTTATGGGATCATCTAACACATTCCCATCCAACTTTCAGCATGACTGCACCATTAATATCACAACGCGCTACTGACGTAACATTGTAGAAATCAGGTACTTCGGATCACATGTCTAAAAGTGTATCTGTGAAGTGTATCTAATGCGTTTATTCTAATAATTTCTCCGATTTGAGAACATTGTATTATTCTTTATCTTTTATATTTCCACTGTAATCGTAACTCATGGTAATGTTTTCTTTTTTCCGACTTTCTCTGCACTGATACTTTTGCATTATTTGCGAAGGGTCCTACACTATTTATGTCTGTTTTAGTGATGTTAGACTGCCATACTTTGCTCAGTTCTGGTTGTAAACATGTATCAACCTAAAGTGACGGATAGAATGTTGATCAGTTAGTTGGTCGTGCAAAATAATTTAATGTTAGCAAACACTGACAACTCAATGATTGTGTTCAATTAAACAAGCATCCTAACGGCTGAACAATATTTCCTTAAGTGTAAGATTTGTTTATTTATAGAAGTGATGAAGTATTCGGACAATTGGAAGTAAACGATAATAAAAAGTTACAGGATATCCGTTCGATTTAAAACTCCAAATATTTACCTGATTTCTGCCTTTGATAACGTTAGTTGTATGCTGTTTAATTTCTTAGGTAGATAGTATTGTAGCTTATTATCTTGAAAACTCAATTTGAAATCTTTCTTCAGCCAATTGTCGTATGTATTAAATACATGCCACTTAGTACTGTGGACGTTACACTTACTATTGATAAATAAGTCCATTTCAATACTCGTGTGATATAATTTGCACTAAAAGAGTGGATCAGTCAGTCAGTCACAACGTAGAAGTTTGTACGTACGTACTTCAGTTTAAATCGCCTACCACGTTAGCACAAAGACGCAATTGTCACTTCAAATTACAGTAGTAGTAGAAGTATTAGCAGAATTTAGGACTCGAGGATATTACTCAAGAAGTAGAGTCGAGTGAGATACCTTTAAAAAAGAAATTGTTTAGGTGATGGAGAATTCAGAAGGTTAGGATTTGAGAGAACGCAGAGAATCAATGTACCTGTTCCATTGCAAATGGTTTTGAGCCATATCATATCATCTCGCGGGTCCCAACCAGGTAGTCGACACCTACCAACATGACTCAATCCAGTCAGTGACTTCATAGATTTGTGCTATGTTTTGGTTTGGCCGCCCCTAAGTTTCTCCCAACCTATCCCTAAACCGCAAAATATAGCTCGATGAGGCAGTCTGTGGTTAGGCATACTGCTGCGCAGTAGACTCGTCCTTTGGTTAGCAGACATATCTCGCCTACGCCATAAGGGACGTAAGTTGGCAAAAACCAGTAGTGCCTTTTGTATCGGTGTTGAGACTCCGTCAGACAGCAGACCATCGGGACTGGCGAGACTCCCAAGATAAGTGATGCGGTCAACACGCTCAACTACTTCACTCCCTTTCACTATTTCAGGTGCCGACGCAAGCCAATTTTGAAGCAACGTTTTGCATTTCGACGGTGAAACCGCATCCCGAATATGTTTGCATTGTTGCTTAGGGTGGAAAGAAGACTGCATTTTGTCAGCATCTTCACTAAATCGAAATGTCATCGGCATACTGTAAGTCAACAATCGTGTCTACTGGTAGAAGGTCCACTCCTGAAAAATCAGACGAAGATAATACTAACTGTAAAAGCAAGTCTATGACAAAATTAAACAAGAATGGCGAAAGTGGAAATCCCTGACGAACACCACTTGAAGTAATCGATTCCGATAACAGTTCGCCATAAGCTCTCACTCGACCATTAGTGTTCGAGTAGAGAGCTTTCATAAGGTTGATGTGATTCTTTGAAACACATTCCAATTACAGACACTGCCACAGAACCTCACGATCAACAAAGTCAGATGCCTCTTTAAGATCAAGGAAGACAACTACTGTCGGACGTTTAAATGTATGCCTGTGTCCCAGGACCTGTCGTAGTGTAAATATGTGGTCTATACAGCCACGTCTAGGTCTGAAACCAGCCTGGCTTTCTCTAGTCTGCTCTTCACGAGCTCTAATTAGGCGTCTAAGAATTATCGAGGCTGACAGTTTAGACACTATATTAGCTTGACTGATTTCTCTGTGATTGTCAACAGAGGACTTTCTTCCTTTCTTGTAGATTGGGACAGTTAGCGACTGAGACCAGTCATATGAGATTACGCCCAGTTCCCAGATTCTACTTAAGATCTCAGTCAATTGAATTACTAAAACTGGACCACCATCCTTGAAAATCTCAGGGGTCAATCTATCAGGGCCCACTGCTCTCCTTCGCTTCAGATGCCGTGTAGCTTTTTCCGAGATAGTCTCACTTACAGTCGGATTCCCAATACCGGATTCCTCGATCAGTGTATATAGTTGTCTAATATTACCTATCGCCGTTGCCTTTTCCATCTCTCTAGATTTCGCTACCCACCACTGTTCGTGATCATTGCATAGGCTTTTTATCAGCCTGCCCCTAAACTGACTCCGCTCCACATAGTACTCAGAGCCAAACGGGATGAGTTTTCGAGCATACATCAGTTCGCTAAATGCTACTGAAATACACTATTTCTCCCTAACCTTATGGTTTACCTTGATAGCAGATATCACTGCTGTTTCCACAGCTTTTTGGATATCATTCCAAGCTGCTTTACGGTGGGCATCACTTACTACATGGCTGCTTAACTGTTTCACTAGTTGTTCCTGAAATATATTCTTAGCTGTTGTATCATTAAGTAGAACCCTAAGAGGTTTGCTTGCGGAGTCATTCCTGCGTCCAGTAAGCCTCAAACAAATACGAGCTCGCAGTAGAGCATGATCTGAATCTAAACATGTGCCCTAGAACGAGTGACAGCCTTATATATCGAGTCTCTTCACCGATGACTGATAATCATACGACGACTTTGGGGGTCGCCATGTTAAAAATGGTTCTCCGTGTGCTTAAAGTTAGTGTTTGCTAGAAATCTGCGGTTATCTCAACATAGCTGCAGTTGGCGGTCACCATTATCTGTTCTTTGAGCCACGATAACGTAAGATCCACTCAGATGTCTTTCCTTTTCACTTAGTCTACCTACTTGAGCATTAAAGTCACCCGCCGCTATCACTACACCAGAGGCCCTGACGTTTCGCAGGAGGTCTGAAAGCTTTCTGTAAAACTCACCTTTTATCTCGTCTGAACTGTGTAGTCAGTGGGAGAGTAGGCTGAGACGACGAAGAGGCGACGGCGACTGTCCCTATCTTCCCGAGTACTTACTGTCCCGTTTAGTCGGACAGCGCAAAAGCGACTATCTACTGGAATCCGGTCTAAGACAGATAGTGCTGCCCTAGGACTTAATAATATACCTACACCAGTGAGGCCACAGGAAGCAGCATCAGGGCTTCCAGATACACGAAGAGTAAATCGAGTTGGCTATTTATTTTGACATGGTGAGGTTTGGAATGGGGTTTAAGGAGACTAGGAGTAACGTTTCGTTAACTCAAAACGTTTACATCAGCCGTGTAGGGTGATAAAGGAATGTGTGAAAGGTTAGTCGTGGAAATGGATTATCACTAATTCGGTCTTATGTGCTGTTGCGGGTATGAGGTCGGGTGTCGCTTCCCGGCTGCCTACACCGTGCAAAGGTTTCACGATAGGCAAGCCCGACCATCACGTAAAGGTTGCATTTAAGGTCGGGAGTAAGTGAATATAGGTTTTTGTAGCACAACGGCCGTTTTAGTATCGTGTTTATATGAAATTTCCTCCCATATTTTAGTCAACAGCCACAAAATGGCTGATAGAGATAGCACTGTTTAGTTATGTACTTCAAGCCCGTCATTTATGACCCAAACCCTACCACGGTACGGGCAGCTGGTCAGTAACATATGCTCTCATACTCGTAACAGCACACGTGACCGAATTCGTCATACTAGAATACTTAGTTAACCTCCTAATAACTCTCTTACCTCCGAGGCCATCGATGAGCAGAACACTTTAGGGAGCAGTTCAACTGGCCTTCAGCCACATTTCGGTTATCCACAATCTCCAGTCAACCTAAATGGCAAATCAATGTTAGTCCTCCGACTCCTTATGCAGTTGAAAAAACTATAGGGAATCTGAAGCGAAGGAAAGCAGTGGGTCCTGATAGATCGACCTCTGAGATTTTTAAGGATGATGGTCCAGTTTTAGCAGTTAGATTGACTAGGATGTGAGGTAGAATCTGGATACTGGACGAATTCCTGTCCGACTGTGCCCAATCACTGATTGTCCCAGTCTACAGGAAAGGAAAAAAGTTCTCTTGTGACAATCACAAAAGAATCAGTTCAACTATTATAGTGTCTAAGATGTTAGCTCCGATAATACTTCGATGCCTAACTGGCGCTCGTGAAGAGCAGACTCGAGAAAATCAGGGTGGATTTAGACATGGACATGGATGTATAGACTATCTATTTACATTTCGATAGGTTCTAGAACACAGACACACATTTAGACGTCCGAGAATAGTCGTATTCTTCGACCTGAAGGTGGCGTTTGACTCTGTTGATCGTGATGTTCTGTGGCAGTATCTGTCATTGGATCGTGTTTCAAAGAATCACATCAACCTTATGAAAGCTCTCTACTCGAACACTAATGGTCGAGTGAGAGCTTATGGCGAACTGTTATCGGAATCGATTACTTCAAGTGGCGTTCGTCAGAGTTGTCCACGTTTGTTTATGTATTGAATATTCATCAGTTGAGGTGGTTGGGATATGCGGTACGTATGCCCAACCACCGACTGCATCGACGAGCTATGTTTTGGGGTGTGGAGGTAGACTGGAAGAAAGTTAGGGGTGGCCAAACCAAAACACGGCACAAGTCCACCAAGTCACTGACAAGTAGACTGAGCGGTGTTGGTACTTGTAGACTACGTTGATAGGGTTTACGAGAGAACAGTAACCAGTGCCTATAGACTATGAATGACGTGGCCCAAAACCGTTGGCGATTACTCAGGTGCATCCTTTCTTTTTATTTTCTCGAATTCCGATCTGCATTCTTCATGATTTTCATCTTTCTCTCCTCAAGTTTATTCTATTAGTTTGTACTCGAATAATGTCACTTTACTAATACTTCTTCTACCTCTAGCTTCATGGGATTTGAATTGGCAGTTCCATCTGTCTGTGTTAAAGTGGTATGACAACTTGAACTGATGTATGTACGCATGAAGTTCTGTGTGTAGCTGACTGACTGACTGTGATGAAAACCACATTAAAAAACGTAAGGAAATAGGCAGCTATCTATTCGTAGCTTCAAAAACTAAGATAAACCTGATTGCTACCAAAGCTAAATGACATTTTAATGCACTTTTGGTGGACAAGCAATCTTTATTTACAGTAGTAAGCAAAATAACTGAGAAAGAAAAATATTTAATTCCTCAAGGTTTACTGATCATTGAAACTCAAATATTTCATGCCATAATTCATACTCAGGTTGATATCATATTCGGAGAGTACTTCTTACTCTATTGGGGACATAGGAAAACACATCTTTCGGTTAAACATAAAACGTTTTAGCTACCAACAAGTTCTAGTTTAATTCTATGAAGGTTGAGCTACGCGAAAATATACAACTTCTGGCATTCTAATTTCTCGTCGTATCTAATGATGAGTGAGATGATAAATTCGAAAAATACCACAAAGGTATGTTTCTTTATGGAAGGGAAATATGAGAAAAAACGTTGGTCTAACCGTTTTTTCAAATAACATCATTTAGTTCAAGACCACGTATTTTGAACAGAAGTGCATCATGTTGTTGTAAATCCAGGTTTCTACTCAGAACTGTAAAACGAATGGTTCTAATATATTGGAAAAGCAATAAAGGCATTTGTACTTATATAATCGATTTTGATTCATGACACTGACAGCTTTGACGCACCAAGTCAAATCAATAGATGAAGCATTGAAACTTCATCAGTTGAGGTGGTTGGGACATGTGCTACGTATGCCTAACCACCGACTGCCTCGACGAGCTATGTTCTATGGTGTAGGAGTAGGTTGGAAAAAAGCTAGGGGTGGCCAGAACAAAACATGGCAGAAATCCATGAAGTCACTGACAAGTGGACTGAGTCATGTTGTAGATGTAGCTTAACTTGTTGGGGTCCGCGAGACGAAAGTCATCAATGGTTAGAGACCTTGAACGACATGGCTCAAAATCGTTTGCAATGGCGCAGGTGCATCCACTCTTTGTTTGCTTTTTAATTCTAACATTTTGAATTCCTCATAATCTCTATCTTTCTTCTTCTAAATTTATCTCACTCAATTATAGTTTTCGAATCATATCTTTGCTCCTTAATCTTCTTCAGTGCTGCTAATAATTCTACTATCGCTATCACTCTTGGATTTGAACTGACAGTTATGTCTCTGTGCTGACGTGGTCAGTCAGTCAGTCAGTTGCAACGTAGAACTTCGTACGTATGTACATGAGTTCATGTTGCCATACCACATGAGCACAGAGACGCAAATGTCAAATCAAATCCCATAGTGATAAAGATAGTAGAGGTATTAATCGTAATGAAGAAGACTAGGGTTCGAAGATATTATTCAATAAGTATAATTCAGTAAGATAAGGTTAGAAAGACAAGTATAGAGGTGCTGACGAATCCAGAAGATTAGGATTTGAGAGAGCTCAACGAATAGATGCACTTGCGCCATTGCAAACGATTTTGAGCCATGTCGTTCAAGATCTCTAACCATTGGTGACTTTCATCTCGCGGACCCCGTCCAGGTAGTCTACATCTACCAACATGACTCAGTCCACTTGTCAGTGACTTCATGGATTTCTGCCATCTTTTGTTCTGGCCACCCCTAGCTTTTTTCCAAGCTACTCCTACACCATAAAACATAGCTCGTCGAGGCAGTCGGTGGTTAGCCATACGTAACACATGTCCCAACCACCTCAACTGATGAAGTTTCAATACTCCATCTATTCATCTGCCATCGTTACCTAGTACTCGTTTCCTAACGACAACATTGCTTACTCGGTTGTACCACGGTATACGAGCAATGCTTCTTAAACATCTATGATCGAACACTAGTAACCTACGAACATCTTCTACTCTTAACGGCCATGTTTCGCATCCATATAGGAGAACGGAGCGAACTGCTGCGCAGTACACCCGTCCTTTGGTCAGCGAACGGATATCTCGCCTACGTCAGAAGTGACGCAGGTTGGCAAAAGCAAATCGAGCTTTCTGTATCCGTCAGTCACCAGGCTATCAGCGCTGATGAGACGTGGTATGGCAACCTGAACTGATGTACTTACGTACGAAGTTCCGCGTTGTATCTGTCTGTCTGTCTTGACACACCAAGTGCTGGGTTATAAAACATTTCATCCAGGAATTCTATATTTATCTGCAAAGCCTAAACTTTGGAGATTAATTCAATGTGTCAGTCTATCCACTCACAACTTCTGCAACACAACCACTTGAACTATCGTTGTTCCAGAGTAGAAACGTACTCAACTTATTCAACTCATTCTCCAACCACTTAAGTGGTGCCAATGTTCAAAATATCACCGATCATCATTTCATGCTTGCTTTTGATTCTACCTAACTGTAAGTGTTTTTAGCCTCTCGAACATGAACATTTATAATTTATTCCGTTTCGCTGTCCTAATTGTGTGAAGTTTTACAGTCGTTTTCTAATCTCCATAATTCTGAAATGTTGTAATTCATTTTCACCTTTATGTAATGTAAAACTTTGATCCTAGATATAGGGTTCCAGAACCAAGGGCTTTGAGCCAAAAGAACATGGATTGTGACACACAAATAAATCCTGAGAAGCAGAATTACTACTCAGATTTAGTAGCGTATTTACATTCCGATCGTCCACCCATCAATATCTATTCTGGTAACAGTATGCCGAACAAATTTCCTAATGTTGTTTCAAAGTGTGATGCAGTTACACAAACTGAACATGTTAAAAAATATAATTCACGGTCGTCTGGGACTTCTTTCGGTTCACAGTCATCACGCTCAGTGTCTTCAAGCTCATCATCATCATCATCTACGTCATCTTCCAGTTCTACTAGTCAGGATCAACCTCCTCGAACTGGTTTAGTTGAAAGTGGACCTTCACACAACTTCACAGACTTATCGAAAGATGGTAAACCGCTGCTATCACATTCATTATCACTAGTTAATGTTAATGGAAATAATCCAGAGAATTGTGGATGCCGCGACTCAGTGACACATGGAGTGTATGAAAAATCCTGTGAACTTAAGCACAGTGGTGCCTTATCTGGACGTTTACGTATTAATAAACGACTAAATCGTCCTAATAAGAAGTCTGGAGATAAAAATACACCAATCTATAATCCAGATGAACAACTACCAATTATTGACCAATGTAGGCGCAAATGTACTGAAACAGTTCATGAGCAGTTATTTTCTAAAACTAACTGCTCCCATCAAAGGAAACCAAAGGACGACAAAATGAATGATAATGTTGCAAGTCCAAAAAGAAAAACAGACATATCGTCACGAAGCAGAACCTTATCAGTTCGAAGAGCTAGAGAATTCTCATCGCCTTTAAATAATTGTATCAGCAAAAACCCTTCTGTCCAAAGCTCTACTTCAAAAGACGTCAGAATGGTTCGGCATGTTTCTCCTTGCTTACCTAGACTCACTCAAAGTAAGACTAATGAATCTTGTAAGTTTTTAGTATAATTTTAAATATCCTCATACATATATATATCCCATAAAACTTCAGCAACCAAAGATTATTGCGGAATATCTTATATCGTACGTAGTATATTTCATAATCTAAACACTAGTTCGATTCAAAGTCTCAAAACACTACACTTAAAGACACGAGTATTGTCAATAATGAACATTTTTCCATGGATAATTATAAGTAAAATCGATTTCACGGCATCCAAAATTTTAGAAACCATTAAGGGGTAGTCATCTGAACCAGAACTTGTTAAGCTAACTCGATGTTCGGGCATTTTATTGTTTTCGCTGCCAGTCCAAACTCCAGGTCGCTAAGACGAACACCAATCCAATTAGCTTTCCAAGCTCTTCAAGAAACCCTCCTACGGTGTGGGCAGCCGGGAACTAACATCCGCCCTCATACTCGTAACAGCACACGAGACCAAATTAGTCACAATCAAACTCTTCTTACACCTCTTAATAACCCTTTTACCTCCACTACCAAACCTTCTTACGTTCCTTTATCAGCTCGCGCCGTTAATGCTAACGATTTGAGTACATGAAACGTTATTCCTGGTCTCCTGAAGCCGCTCTCTAAACTACATGTCTAAACGGTTAATGTTCGGACCTGTTACCAAATATGACAACAGGCTTCCTTAGCTAGTATTCTAGAATCTCGTGCCATCGATGTATACTGCATTTCCGAAACGCACATACAGGATCCGAGTACAGTCATTCGTTTGACCTCTCCCTGTCAGCATATAGAAAGGTTGCGATTTGCGGTTCGTGAATCTAAAAGCCCTGCTGCTGCTTCCTGTGGCCTCTCTAGTACAGGTATATCATTGAGTTCTAAAACTTAAGTAGCTCTGTTGGACTAGATTTCAGTAGACAGTCGCCTATGCGCCTTCCGACCAGACGAAACAGTAAGGCTTCGGAAAGATAAAAACACTCGACATTACCTCTTCTTCCTCTCAACTTACTCTTCCACATATTGCAGCTTGGTTGAAGTATAAGGTGACCTTCACATAAAGCTTTCAGATCTCCTCTGAAAAGTTAGGCGTAAAAAGATTGAGGAGGAACGGTGGATCTCAGTATCATCAATTGAACTGATAAGTGCTTGGAAACTCATCCCATCCAGCTCCAAAGATGATTAGGAGCGGTTGATAAGAAGCCTACGCTATGATCGCAAACAGTGGTGGGTAGCGAATACAAAAGAGATGGAAAAAGCGAGGGCGATAGGTAATAGTAGACAGTTGTTCAGACTTGTCAAGGAAACTGGGATGAGTGTCCGACTGTTGGCGACATAATATCGGGAAAAGGATCGGCTTATTATTCATTCTTAATCCAGGAGATCGCATCGATGGGCAGAACACTTTAGGGAGCAGTTCAACTGGCCTTCAGCCACATTTCGGTTATCCACAATCTCCAGTCAACCTAAATGGCAAATCAATGTTAGTCCTCCGACTCCTTATGCAGTTGAAAAAACTATAGGGAATCTGAAGCGAAGGAAAGCAGTGGGTCCTGATAGATCGACCTCTGAGATTTTTAAGGATGGTGGTCCAGTTTTAGCAGTTAGATTGACTAGGATGTGAGGTAGAATCTGGATACTGGACGAATTCCTGTCCGACTGTGCCCAATCACTGATTGTCCCAGTCTACAGGAAAGGAAAAAAGTTCTCTTGTGACAATCACAAAAGAATCAGTTCAACTATTATAGTGTCTAAGATGTTAGCTCCGATAATACTTCGATGCCTAACTGGCGCTCGTGAAGAGCAGACTCGAGAAAATCAGGGTGGATTTAGACATGGACATGGATGTATAGACTATCTATTTACATTTCGATAGGTTCTAGAACACAGACACACATTTAGACGTCCGAGAATAGTCGTATTCTTCGACCTGAAGGTGGCGTTTGACTCTGTTGATCGTGATGTTCTGTGGCAGTATCTGTCATTGGATCGTGTTTCAAAGAATCACATCAACCTTATGAAAGCTCTCTACTCGAACACTAATGGTCGAGTGAGAGCTTATGGCGAACTGTTATCGGAATCGATTGCTTCAAGTAATGTCCGTTAGGGATGTCCACTTATTTAATGCTCGTTTATCTTTGTAGTGCACATGCTTTTGCAGTTGACATTATCTTCGACTGACTTTCCGGTGTTTCTAGTTGATCTACCAGAAGACTCGCTTGTTGACTTAGAATATATCGATGACGCGGAGTCTTCTGACCAACTTAATCAACCATGCATGCATATAGGGGATACGATTCTTCTCGTCGAAATGCATAATGTTGCTTCAGGATCGTGTTACATCGGCACCTGAATTAGTAATAAGTAGTGAAGCAGTTGAGCGTGTTGACTGTTTCACTTATCTCGGGAATCTCATCAGTGCTGATGACTTGATGTGTAACGAATTCTTAGAGAGGATACAGAAGGCTTGATTGGCTTTTCCAAGCTTGCGCTAGAAGACAGCTGGGGACGGCCAGACCAAAACGTGGAACAAATCCATGAAGTCACTGACCAGTGGACTGAGCCATATTCGTAGGTGTAGACTATGTGGTTGCGGTTCACGAGACAATCGTTACCTGTGGTTAGAGACCTTAAACGACGTGGCCAAAAGTCGTTTGCAATGGCGCAGCCCCATCCATTCTTTGTCTTTTTCCAAATTCTAATCTCAATTCGTCATGATTTTCATCTTTTTCTTCGCAAATTTATTTCACTTATTTCGCTCCTTGAATAAGGTTTCGTATCCATTACCACTAATGCTTCTACTACATCATCCATAATGGTATGAGAATTGACAATTCCATCTGTCTGTGTTAAAGTGGTATGGCAACTTGAGCTGGTGTATGTACGTACCTACGAAATTCTACCTTATAGCTGATTGACTGTATCAATCCTCTTCTTATTTGTCTAAGTTGAATGTAAGACCTGACTAAACTGACTGGAAGGCGACGTTTGTATCTTCTTATGTTTATCTGTGCATGAAAACCTATTTACACTTGCCCTAGTCAATTCTTTGCTTATTTTTTTACAGTAAATACGTTATAAGAAACATGAAAAAAGTTTGTCCTGAATATAATTTCGCTGCTTTATTATTTAGAAGACATCTAAAGTTAACGAAAGAATATTCTTGTTTGGTTCTCTTCGAATTTAGTTGTCATTTTTTGTCACTTGTAAATTTTGTGAATATAACTTCATCTTTGAGATGATGGAGAAGATTTGTAGCTCAGGTGGATGATTGTGGTGGTGGTGTTTGGTTCTCTGGGCTGGGTATTTTGGGTGTGGAGCTTCTATCTGAGGTTTGTGCTCATGATGTTGTTCAGAAGAACAATGAAAGCTCCACAACCAAAACACCCAGCTCGGAGAACCAAACACTACCACCACAATATAACTTCATCTACCAATGTTTATGTAGCTTATAAGTGTTGCTTATTTTGTCCAAAAGTTGTCTGTTTTAGATCACTAAACATCAGTGTTTTCTTGTTAACTTGAGTTTACGCTAATGCATCAGCATCTTATTGTGTTTTTAGATTTGAGTTCCGAAAAATTACTGGAGTAGTTATCGGTTAACTTACTCTACGTATTGTATAGGTGCTCTCATCTTTTAGGGAAGTTGTTTTTGATATTAATCTGCAAACAAAACGTTCAATGAACGTGCTCCAAATTGAAATATCCACCTTGTTACCATGTCGTCACTTTTGATTTTCGGCTTCTGTAAGCAGATCTCGTCAAGAGTAATAGATTATTTCATTTTGTTTTGACTTAAAACGTTTCTATGTGATTAGGCTCTAGGAGAAATTCAATTTCTGGTTTTTGTTACTTTAATTACTACTTATAATTTTGAGTCCTCTGTACACTAAAACAAAAATGCCTGGAAGTTAAATGTACACAGATCTTACCACTATCAGTATCGGATTAAGTTAAGAATTTCTATCATAATTCAAATCACATCGTCAATTGACGAGCTAAAATTACGTAGATCTCCCACAAAATGTTTAGGAAATAATAATTAAACGACGAATGTCACTCATCTCATAAAAATACAGTGGTAGGTTAAATTGTGGATTTTCACCAGTTTCAATCCTACGCCATTTATGAGGTTGTATTCTGTTAAAGCCGTGTGGCATTTTGGAAGACTCTTATTTCCTTCGATGCATACAGTATTCGGCTGGTCAAAATTGAGTAGATATTTTGTTTGAATTCTTGACTCTGTGAAGAGAACTGTTTATCGCCTGTAGCAAATCTTTACTGGTTAGGAAAGTAAGGGTAACATTCTGACAATAACTGGTCATCGCCAACCATTACTTAACGGTCTGAATTCTCATCTGGGAATTGTAAGATATCTCATTGAAATGAGCCCTTGTAGTGCTTGAGTTCACTCAAAACCGAATCTATTGTCTATCATTACTGTCCCCTAACATTCTTAGGTTTGTTGGAACCTAACAAAAATCTTGATATCTGTCAACCATCAAAATCTGTGTGATTTTGTTCTATCAGTTGCGCAAGGGATACTATTCAACTTAACACAGAGATGGACTTGCGTAGACACGAACAAAGAATTCTTAAAAATTCAGTGCTTCTGCTCGAAACCTACACTGTTTTATTCTTAGATAAATTAGTGTCGATACTTATTTATATTTAGCGATGAATCATTAACTTAGCGGTAGTCAAAAAGACTGAGGATCGAAAATATGGTTCATAAGTTATATGCCAATGGCTCAGTCCAGTTGTCAGTGACTTCATGGATTTGTGCCATGTTTCAGTTTGGCCACCTCTGGCTTTCTTCCAGCCTACTTCTACATCACAAACCATCGCTTGTCGAGGCAATCGGTGGTTAAGCTTACTTTAAACATGTCCTAAACACCTCAACTGATGAAATTTCAATACTTCATCTATTCATCTGCCTGCCTTACCTAGTACCCGTTTCCTAACAACAGCATTGCTCACTCGATGGTCCCAGGATATTTGAGCAATGATTTGGAGTCACTTATTCCGGAATACCAGTAACTTACCATTTTTCTCTACTCTACCGCTAATACTTTTGTTCCATCACATTTTCTTGGGTAAATACGTTCATTGAACAGAGATATTTAGAAATTTAGCCAGTTCACATTTTCATGAGTGTAGTCATGGTGTTTTAGTTTGTGATATAACTACTAGTAGTTTGTAACTCAAATAAAATACAAAAATTTGATAATGTTCGTGATATGATAACTGATGAGATACACAGTTAGCTTTGTCATCCAGTCAGTCAGCTGCAACGTAGAATTCCGTACGTACGTACATCAGTTCAGGATGCCATAACACATTATCACAGAGACGCAATTATCAATTCGAAGCATTAGCGGTAATGGGGAAGATTAGGGTTCTCAGATATTATTAAATAAGTGTAATCCAGTGTAATAAATTTAAAAAAGAGAAGATGAAGGTCATGACGAATCCAGAAGATTAGAATGGATGCATCTGCCCCATTGCAAACGATTTTAAGCCACGTCATTCAAAGTCTATAGGCACTGGTTACTATTCTCTCGTAAACCCTATCAAGGTAGTTTACAAGTACCAACACCGCTCAGTCCACTTGTCAGTGACTTGGTGGACTTGTGCCGTGTTTTGGTTTGGCCACCCCTAACTTTCTTCCAGTCTACCTCCACACCCCAAAACATAGCTCGTCGAGGCAGTCGGTGGTTGGGAATACGTACTACATGTCCCAACCACCTCAACTGATGAATATTCAATATTTAAACAAACGTGGACAACTCTGACGAACGCCACTTGAAGTAATCGATTCCGATAACAGTTCGCCATAAGCTCTCACTCGACCATTAGTGTTCGAGTAGAGAGCTTTCATAAGGTTGATGTGATTCTTTGAAACACAATCCAATGACAGATACTGCCACAGAACATCACGATCAACAGAGTCAAACGCCACCTTCAGGTCGAAGAATACGACTATTCTCGGACGTCTAAATGTGTGTCTGTGTTCTAGAACCTATCGAAATGTAAATAGATAGTCTATACATCCATGTCCATGTCTAAATCCACCCTGATTTTCTCGAGTCTGCTCTTCACGAGCGCCAGTTAGGCATCGAAGTATTATCGGAGCTAACATCTTAGACACTATAATAGTTGAACTGATTCTTTTGTGATTGTCACAAGAAGAGTTTTCCACCCTTTCCGTTGTAAGAAGGCAGCGTCGCTGCAGATGCTGGTTGTCCATGGGAAACACCTCACTAACTGTCACAATCCTTTAGAGTTAGCATTCAGTCTAGGTCGCTTCTTGACTTTTCATTCATCAGTCTACCTGCCTGGCGCTGTTGGACCTAAAAAACGTATGTTCCAGACAATGTATTTCGCTTGGGTCATCGTAACAGGAAGGCCTGACAACCACTCCTGAATGAAAATATTAGTCAGATTAAAGGAGCTAAAGAATTCTTTTAAATATTTTCAGCCGAACGATTGTTTTCAAGCTGCGTTCTAATCACTCCCATTACTTCACATACAAATTCCATGGTGTTTTTATACTAGAATAATACTCAAATGTACAAAGGTAGGCAGGATAATCTTCTACTTTTCTAATTTAAGTAATAATTTACCTACCTTGGTTAGTTTGCATATTATCTTATTGATCATAGTGGGAACTTCGGCAGTGAACGGTAATCAAAATTTGTATCAATTTTTACATTCTATGTGTTCTTATTCACTATCCTACGGCAAACTATGTTTTACCTGCAACTTCGGTAACGCTTTTTGAGTACTTTATTGTCATTGCCGTTTGTTTACACCTTTTCGAAACTCAGTCCATCTCTCAGTGTACTAACTACCGTATTTCTGTAATAAAAATATAAGCTTATTAAATTGCGCTCTTAATTGAACGTGACACTATGTAAGTGTACTTGAAACGTCTTTTGATCAATCACTTTTATACAGTTATTAACTACGTTGAAGTGAACCTCATGATTCTACTGTAGCCATCTATTTAAAATTTCATCTATTTACTTAAACCGGATAAACGGGTCGTAAATGTAAGAAGTACGGCAAGCAATTTCGGGCTTTATTCGTTGATGTCGAATTCTATTGGTACTTTACAACCGCTTGTCTGTTTGCACTCTTTATCTTCATTGGACCTCTGTAAAGCGATTTCATTTTTATCTTTGCGCACAGTATCGTACATCTCTTACTATACTGGTGGGTTACGACAGTAGTAGCATTTTAAAATTTCATTTTTCAGGTACTGGTCCAGACTCATCTTCTAGAGGTCATGTTTCAAATCACCTTATCAAAGCAGTTGAAAGTGCCATACGATTATCTCGAGATCATCATGCCGTTCGTAGACAACATAATGCAGGTAAACCGTTTATCATGTAGCTTATGTTGACTTGTATCTATGCAACTAGTATTTTTTTCTATCTGTTCAACCGTAAATGCACACAGCAATAAGTGGTCATTGTATGTCACAGTTGTGCGAGACTAGGTAAATCTAGTGTCCATTTGTTTGGCTGAATAGTAATTCTGGGAAGTTTGAAACCGGTTTCCCTAATAGGTGGTTGTCTGCCTTCTAGAGAAAACCTTTTTTATGCAAAGAAAGCTTATTCACGTGTTTAGCAAAAATTTGTTACCCCATTGATTGTTCACATTATTGTCAATGCTGCAATTACTCACATCTGTATTTCTTGTACCATATGTGCATGCTATTTCTCTGAATTTTTTCTTAACAAAGCTTTTTATTTTTCTTAGCCAATTCTGTCCACCGTAGTCGATATTCAAAACAATTATTCTCTAACCATCAAACTCATACTGAAATATCTCGTTTGGAAAGTGGCGATTGCTCAAGCGAACCCGAAAGACGAACTAGGGAAGCTAGTTGTACACTGTATACAAAACGTTTACTTTCTAAAGGTGATAGTACAAATATGATCGTCGAGTCAACCTCACGAGATCTGAATGATTCATGCCACAAACCAGATAAAGAAAATGACCAGTTAACTGCTAATGAAAATTCTACACCTAATGCTTTAATTCCTGATTCATCAAACACCGTTGGTGATATTCATCTTGGTGACTATTCGGTTCAGGAAATCGTTCATGATTCTAATGAACCAGTAGCGAACTCTGTCAACCAGTCTGATCAATCCTCCAATCAGTTCCTGCTAAAAAACGATTCATTTTCCTCTATAGAAAACAAAAGTGGTGAATTAAATATTCCAGAAATTTTGGGACTCACTCCACCTATTTCTCATGATCAAGATTGTGCTGAAGATAAAAATGATTCACCTATCACAAGGTTTGTTTTCTCGAAGTTTTTTTGCTATTTAAAATAGTGTCAAAAATTAATAACTTTCTGTGTAGTTTCCTGTAAGTATTTGCTTGGGGACCATTTATTTTCTGTCCGTAACTTCGGTCTCAGTATCTTTATAATTTTGATACATTCCCTGAAGAAATTATCCTTCAACCTAAAATTATCTATCTTGATAGAAGTTCAGACCTAGTTAACCAACGTTTACAATGCTGATTCTTGCAGCACTAAATCATGGATCGATCAGGTGTGATGCTGCATCTGTTTTCACATTGTATAGGCATCTTTTTGGACTATCCTATCCTACTAAGTTCATTATCGAGAATTCGGAATGTCCTGGAGAATCAATAAATAGATAATCATTAACCTATTGTAATTTTCAGCTAGATTTTTTCCTGTGATAGTCGACTGAATATCATCGTATGAATTATTTTATTGATTAATTTAAGCACTTAAACATTAGTACAAATGGAGCGTCTAAATATTTATGCACCACACAAATTGACGACCTTGTGAGTGGGCTGTGATGTCGCCCGGACGCCCAAGCCGAAGCAGGTGGTGATTTTAGGGGGCCACACTCTGAACCTTTGACCCGAAAATCTAGTCCGCAAGGCAATTGAGCAACGTTAGTAGGTGTAGTCTCATGGTAACCATAGGTTCATATGCCATTCGCTCAATCAGGTTCCTGGAGCCCGTGTAGACCGTTTGTTTGTAATCAGGGTTTGTCAACTCCCCAAGGTAGATCCTCCATATCCACCGACCACAGAAAAGCGCCGGACACTAGCTTTACATCCAGTTATATTTCGAAAGCAACACCTTAATACAATACAAAAATAACATCACGAACAAAAATCAAATATTTTTTAATTCAAAGTATTGTCCCATTACCATCAAGTAGATATGCATCAATATATTCAGTTGCTGGTTCGGAATTCGTACCACATGTCCCAACCACCTCAACTAACGAAGTTCCAATATTTCGTATACTGATTTACTTTCCCTTCCTAGTACCCATTTTCTAACAACATCATTGATTACTCGATAGTCCCAAGATGAACGAGCAACGATCAAAAGCCAGTAACCTACGAATGTCTTCTACTCTGACTGGCCATGTTTCGCAGCCATAAAGTAGGACGGAGTGAAGTGATGTGCAGTAGACTCGTCCTTTGGTTAGTGGACGGATATCTTGCCTACACTATAAATGACGCAAGTTGGTAGGAATTAATCGAGCCCTCCGTATCCGTGCTGAAATTTTGTCACATACCAGCCCACTAGCACTGATGAGACTCACAAGATAAGTGGAACAGTCAACACACTCAACTAGTTCAGGTGCCGATGTAACCCAATCTTGAAGCAACACTGCATTTCGACGGGGACAAATCGCATCCCGAACATGCACTGTTGCTTAAAGTGGTTAAAACACTATGCATTTCGTCACCAAGTAGAACTAAGTCATCAAGCGAGTCTCCTGGTAGAAGGTCCACCCCTGAAGTCATCTCTAAAAGCATATCTATGACAAAGTCGAATGAAAGTGCAGAAAGTGAACAACCCTGACGAACACCAATTGAAGTAAACAATTCCGATGACAGTTGGCCATAAGCTTTCACTCGACCAGTAGTGTTCAAGTAGAGAGAGCTTTCAGTTACAAACACTTCCAACAATGGTTTTCTTACTTATGAAATACGCGCTATTCTGTAGTTTTATTTCAGCAATAATCATCAATATGTATTATTTCTACAGAAAATTGCCAATTCAACTGGAAGATTCATTCGCTCATACTAGTAACAATAGAAGTCGGTCACTCTGTACAAGTTGCCGTTCACATTCCAGGTCGAACCACTCTCTAACGGAGTCAGACCATTCTGTTAGAGGAATAGAAAACCAAGAAGAGGGTGAAGTCGCTGACGACGTGGACGATGATGACGACACCGAGGTGTTCAATTCTTCTTATGCAACTCGTTCACTCAAAAGATGTTGGTCTCGTTCATCACCTGCCAGTAGTAAAACTCCGAAGCTTTCCTCAGACGCACATGTTATTGAATCTATGAATGTCCCTATTTCTGGAAATTTAAAAAATATTTCAGCATATCGAAATATCGAGAAGGAAAGATGGAGTAGAAGTTCACAACACTATTCTGAAAAAGATGGTTCCAGAAACTCTAGTTCCGGTTTTGTGGATTTGAGTTTACGAGCATCTCCTGGATACGGTAAGTACTTTTGTTCTGAGATAGCTTCCTATTTTGACAATTGCTCCCAAGTATTGTATATGAACCTATACCACATTCTATAAATAAGAATTAGTCACCAATCACTACACTTAATTTAGGTTTCCGCTACAGTTTCGGCTCATACCCAAGAACCTGGATTATAAGTTAATTTCATTTAATTTAAAAAGAAACTTCACATAGGTTGCTAACTGAAGTGTAAGTGTCTACTGATAGATACATAAAATTAATCTTAATGCATATTCGATTATCTGCTTCTAAAGAATTAATATTGTGAAAATATTCTACATCACCAAGTCATGATATAAATGATCGTTTAAGGCGAGAAAGTACTTAGTATTGAATTTCTCTACGTTTGAAGATGGCCGAACTCGCAGGAGCATTATATCTGTGGGGCCTTCGAATTTCAAAACGCACTTAGATGCCTTAATTATTTTGATTTCGAATAAATTCAACTTTCTGTCTCGAAACGTTTCCAGACGTGTGAACATTTGTCATCCGTTTTACTGAAACACTACTTATCGCAAGTCTAGGTTATTTCTACAAAAGCTATAAAGTGAAGATGGATAGCTGACACTTTGAATGCGTTATTTGATACAAGAGGTTACTTAGGGAGTTGGAAGATAATAATCATGATAATTAATATGTCTGCCGATTGCAATGAAAATGCGTCTCCCAATCTTGCATCACTCCTGTGGGTTAGACGTTAAAGGCAAAGACAATCGAGCAGTATCACAATCTTCATGACTATCACGAATAAACAATGGATATTGTGTATTTTGCCCACTGACAACGTATGTGTCTGTGTCGTCCTATTTCAATGTGGTATACTCTTTCAATATCTTAATCAGCAGGTCGCTTTACAAAATAGTATCTGTTGTCTAAAACGTTCTATGCCACAGTGGTTGGCTCTCGAAACATGCCACGTAATAAGGTATCTAATGTTACTAATATGCTATCAATAATGTGAAAAGTCTTGCTGTTCTCGATGACTCGTATTTGAGATTGCAATGGAATACCATGTATCCATTTTCCATGTGTTGATCTGAAAACTGTTATTGTGTGCTAATCTGAAGGCTCTGTGTCAGTGACGGTGTTGTGGTCTACACTAGAGCTCAAGTTGAAGTAATCATTTGGTATCCATCCCATCGATCGTGGTATATGTGAAGTTAGGTTAAAGGTTCAAGAAAATTCTTTATGTATTCTTGCAGAAGATTATTACACATTAAGTTAGTTACTGACGGCATCAATGACTTTAATTCTACCACTACTTTCAGAGTACTAATCTTATCTTAATTGTTAAAGAGTATGGATTAATTTAGACAAATTGAGTGTATTATAACTGAATTCCAGACCAAGAAAACACTGTAAAAGTCTCTGCAGGAAATTCACAATGGTGAAGGTACAGATCCTCTCCTCAGGAATAGTACATTTCCTCCTCCTTCATATTCTATAATAATTACTAATGAATAATTTATTTTATTACTAATTTGGTTGACTTTCAATTCCCCATAGAAAATATTTGAGCGAGCAACTGTTTTCAATAACTTTGCCATCAGGCTCTACATTTAGGTGTCCATAATTATTGTATTATTTTACATAGATCGAAATAAGGAATATATTAACAAATTGGACAATGTGATGTGTTCAAAATGGTGATATTTCGCAACTGTTACGGTATAAATACTTCAAGATTCTTATTCGTAAAATGAATATGAGCAGTCCTTCAGATGTAATGATGATCAGACACAAAGAGTAGTAGTCAAAAATCAACTTGTAAGATTCAACTTTGAAGAAACTAGCGGAAAATTGCTCTTGCAGAGTTATTTCAAAACCAACCTTTGATACCCACAGTAGTGTTACAATACCATCGAAAATATTGAAGATTCCTATTGTGGAAATTAGAACAACACATATAAGCGAACAATATTGTTTTCAATTAGTGTACCACCCAAAATGTTTTCGGCTATTAAAAGTTGCACTAGTATCCACTTGCCTCACCACCACAATCACTCACACAGCCACCCAAATGTACTAGCTTTTTAACCATCTCTAATGATTTATTTCTAAAGCTAACTAAAAGCACAGACTCCTACCAGTCTTGAAACAGAATTTTGTATTTTAAAAATCAAAAGTGCAATACAGTAGTTACGAACATTGATTTCCAATCGGTCAAGTTCGACTTTGATACTTGATTATCATTCCGCAGTAAAATAGTATCACTTGCATACTCAAGGTTAAAAGTTTCTAGTTAACAGGTATTTTTATTGACTGATAAGAGGTAAAAAACTAAACCCTATAATCTCTGCACACATTTCGAAAATCGTAGCTCAACAGAATCATAACTCTTCTCATTTGTCACTGACAACTAAGTATGTGAATTTAAGACTATAGCTTACATCCCGATTTTCAAACTTAATTGTTTTAAACGGGAAAATTTCAATGATTTGGCGGCTGTGGGCAGGATAACTGATTAGAATACTCTTGACATATAGTCCGTTGGACCACTTAATCGATACACACACTCCAGCTTACAGTTGTGATTAATAATCGTTATTGACGTAACCGAAGAAAATTGAGCAAAAAGAGCAATACTATCATTGAAATAACGTACCGATCATTGTTAGACCACCATTAGCAACCTGGAAGCATTGGACGGTCGTTTCGTCCTAGTATGGGACTCACCAGTAGTGCGCATCCACGACGCTCGCTCGCGGGAATAGACCCAAGATCTCTGTACAAATGTGGTTTGGCAGCCTGAACTGATGTACGTACGTACGAAGTTCTACGTTGTTGCTGAGTGATATCAATTAGTCCTATAGCCGTTAAGAGTAGATGTTCGTAGATTACTAGTATTTGATCATAGATGTCTTAGAAGCATTGCTCGTATACCGTGGGACAACCGAGTAAGCAATGCTGTCGTTAGGAAACGGGTAATAGGTAAGGATGGCAGATGAATAGATGAAGTATTGAAATTTCATCAGTTGAGGTGGTTGGGACATGTGTTACGTATACCTAACCACCGACTGCCTCGATGAGCTATGTTTTATGGTGTAGGAGTAGCTTGGAAAAAAGCTAGGGGTGGCCAGAACAAAACATGGCAGAAATCCATGAAGTCACTGACAAGTGGACTGAGTCATGTTGGTAGATGTAGACTACCTGGTTGGGGTCCGCGAGACGAAAGTCACCAATGGTTAGAGACCTTGAACGACATGGCTCAAAATCGTTTGCAATGGCGCAAGTGCATCCATTCGTTGAGCTCTCTCAAATCCTAATCTTCTGGATTCGTCAGCACCTCTATATTTGTCTTTCTAACCTTATCCTACTGAATTATACTTATTGAATAATATCTTCGAACCCTAGTCTTCTTCATTACGATTAATACCTCTACTATCTTTATCACTATGGGATTTGATTTGACATTTGCGTCTCCGTGCTCATGTGGTATGGCAACATGAACTCATGTACATACGTACGAAGTTCTACGTTGCAACTGACTGACTGATCAATTATTCCGTAGTTTCAGTGAGATTCAGCGATCTTTACCACATCATCCTGAAAAAGTTATTTTTGTTTAGGATCCTAACAAAGTACAGTCTTCAGAATGCTTCAATCGTAAGTGCAAGCACACAGAATGCTGTTTCAAGCATCATCTTCGTCACTCCGTGAACTAGTTATAAGAGGGGTGCTAGTTAGGCGCGTTAATCAGTTTATTTATCTTAGAAATATCATAACTTTTAGAGGATTGGCGGCTGAAGTGATCACATAAGGTGTTAGTTCTGCAACTAAAGGACGAATATTCTGCTCCGAATGTCGTTCTGTCCTAATCCATAACTTTAAAACGTAGATTACTCGTATTTGGTCATAGATGCTGTCAAGCCACTACTCTCGTTTGTTGGGACTATTAAGCAGGTATTACTGAGGTTAGATGATGGCACATCAGCTGAGAAAACTGGGAATCCTCGTTGACTAAGGCGTTTTGGACTGGTAATATACTGACAGCTGCCTACTTCAACATGTGATAATTAGTGTGGAAATAAGACAAGAAGTAGCTGAGGATGCCTAACCGAAAAGTGTAGTAATTGAAGGTTGAACTGAGTTATGTTGGTAGGTACAAATTACCCAGTCAGGTTGACCGCGGTTGGAGACTTAGGGTAACATTACTTAGGATGTTGGAGAAAACTTGTAGCTCAGGTGGATGATTGTGGTGGTGTTTTGTTCTCTGAGCTGGTTGTTTCGGTTGTGGAGCTTTCATTGTTCTTCTGAACAACATCATCAGCACAAACTTCAGATAGAAGTGAAGCATTCGAATTTGACCTGTAGCTTGTTCTACTAACCTCGATCTTGATTGGTTGTTGTTGTCTTTTGACCTGTCGTTGTTTGCAACTTTGTTTTGATTGCACTCCCCTTTTGATCTGTTTCTTGATCCTATGATTTTTCTGATTGGTTGATAGATTGAGTCAATGTCGATGTGTTTGTTGATTGCTGATTGGCCTGAGTGCCAAGCTTCTAAAAATTCTCTAGAGTTCTCTTTCCTCCTCCTACCCAGTATTTCCGCATTGTTTTAAAGGCTCAACTTTGTAATGCTTGAGAACTCATTCCGTCTGGCTCTAAATACGATGAGGAGCGGAGTCAGTTTAGGAGCAGGCTGACAAAAAGCCTATGCAATGATCACGAACAGTGGTGGGTAGCGAAAGAGAGATGGAAAAGGTAACGGCGATAGGTGACATTAGACAACTATTTACACTTATCGAGGAATCCGACTGTAAGTGAGACTATCTCGGTAAAGGATGGTCTTATTATTGTTCTGAACCCAGGAGATTGGATCTATGGGCAGAACACTTTTAACATCAGTTCAGTTGGCCCACGATCTCCAGTCAACCTGAATGGCAAATCGATGTTGGCCCTCCGAATCTTTATGCGGTTGTAAAAACTATAGGGAATCTGAAGCGAAGGAGAGCAGTGGATCCTGATAGATCGAC